TGTCTCAGCAATGGATGCTCTGCAGTGAATGGGTGCCGTCAGAATGAGAGTCCAAACAGTTGATAAAAACATCACAATAATCCACAAGTAATCCAGTCCATCATCTTGTGAAGCCAAAAGCTCTTACCTGAATCAGAAGAGAAATATGCACAATTCAAGCACAGTTTATGAGCAAAAACAGTACAAAACAAATATGTAGTTGAATTTTGATGTGACAATAGAGGATGCACTTTTTCACTGGATGAAGTGTTATTATGGATTATGGACTCATATTTTGGCCAGAAGTGACGTTAACTGATGGACTGGAGTGGTGTGGATTACTTGTGGATTATTGTGATGTTTTTATCAACTGTTTGGACTCTCATTCTGACGGCACCCATTCACTGCAGAGCATCCATTGCTGAGACACTGATGCAGTGCTACATTTTTCCAAATCTGATGAAGAAACAAACTCATCCTAATCTCACTCATGTGTTACTATTTGGCCTTGAAGAGCGGTTATGAATTGGTTGCACCCACACACACACACACACACACACACACACACAATATAACACCTCATATCTCTCTCACACACTGAGAAAGAGAGAGAGAGAGAGAGAGAGAGAGAGATGGGGGATGGGCGACATTGGAGACAAGAAGCAGAGAGGAGGGGTGATGTTGTAAAACACACGACTTCTATTGGATGGACTGCATGATTATTATTATGTATCAGCAGAAGGACACTGTCTCGCAGCATCTCTCTCAGCTCTGACTCTGCAAAGCTTTTATTTTGCCATCTCTGCTTGTATTTGTCTGTGATCCGGTTGTAGATCGCCCAGTGAGGATGCAGGTAAACACATGAGCAAGGGCAGAGCATTCATTCATTCTACAGCACATATGAGGATGCTGGAGCCACATGTGCTGTTGTCATCTGAAATCAGTCTAACCTGACTTCAGATAGAGCGGCTCGAATGGCAGGCGCCGAGCTTTGACCAGATGTCAACACAATCCCATGCTGCACTGCTCACAGAATGGACTCCAACGGTGATGGCAAAGAGGAATGGACAGAGGAGCAATGGGATAAATGGTATGAGGGTCTTTCACTCTTCAAGCTTGTGTTTTTAGTGGTAGAATATATGAAATGTTTCTGTGTTAGTGCATGTGTTTTGATGAGCAGCAGACACAACATTTGTAGCAGATCATTATTTTTGTTGCATAGCAACACTCTTGTTATGCCAAGGATCTTTTAATCATTTGTATGCAATATTATTTTCAGTATTGCAATGAAGTTCTTGTCCTTTGCCAGTTGTTTGTTCATATACTGACATTAATATAAATCTGTATGGGCACAATTTGTTGTCTTTTTAACTAGTGCATTTGATCATACAGATTCTATTAAATGCAGTCTCAGACTGATGCAATGACAAAAGACTTTTATTTTGAAAGGGGCTGAGGATGTGCATGTAGCACACCATGAGCTCTTTCATGCCACATAGAGACACAAGCTGTTCTGAAATCATGTGTGTGCTGCATTTGATGAGAGCCGCTACTGAAATAAGCATGCATGTGTGGAGTATGAATACAATGCGGATGAACTACATCCATCATGGTGACATTGTCAGGTGACCCGTGACGTTTGCCAAGTCACTGCTTCCTGCCCTGAATGCATTCAGATAATTAAAAAGAAAATATACACCATATTATAATTTTTTTCATATTTTGTCATCTCTTCCTTATGCTGAAATGCTTTTTTAAAAACGTGCACATCAATATACAATCCAAACCTTATAATGACAAAGCAAAAAAAAAAAAACACATTTGTAATAACTTTGCACATTTTTGAAAAATATTACATTGGCATAACTTCCTGTTGTGCCATTTTTTCATTCAGAATCAGGAATTTTTTTCATATTTTGTCATCTCTTCCTTATGCTGAAATGCTTTTTTAAAAACGTGCACATCAATATACAATCCAAACCTTATAATGACAAAGCAAAAAAAAAAACACATTTGTAATAACTTTGCACATTTTTGAAAAATATTACATTGGCATAACTTCCTGTTGTGCCATTTTTTCATTCAGAATCAGGAGCCTACTTTATGTACTGCTTAATACAGAGCCTGTATACAAGAATAACCTTTAATATAAGAAAACCCTTGTGAAACGGAAGTTCGCATACATTTAAAACAAGTACTTATTATGGAAGCAGTATATTTAAAAAGAATATACTCAAGTGTGAACTGCATGTAATGCTTATTTTAATGTATTTTTAGTTTAATTTATTATAGTTTAAATTTAAATTATGTCAAAGTAAATTAAGAGTGATTTGTGACCCACTTAAGTAGGACTTAAGTACATCTTTATATGCAATTTCATAACTACTTCTATTGTCTTTGAAATATGATTAAAGTACTGCTGAATGTACTGACGAGCATTTATGATAAACTACAATATACTTTAATGTAATTTCAACAGAAACTTGGATGTCATGTATTTAAATATTATAATAATTTGTAATGATGAAGGTGCAATTCTTTTAAAATATAGCCTATTAACTTTAAATGCAATACTGATAACACACTACAGTTAAAATAATAATCAAGTGCTTTACATGTGCTTTAGTCAACACATCAAAATAAGTGTACGTTAAGATTATTTAAACATAATGATTTAAAATTAACTTTAAAGTTAAACTTTTAATTGAACATTGTTACGAAGGTCACTATTTAAATGTATACTTAAGTGTGTTACAAATGATATTTATTCCTGTGATGCAAAGCTGAATTTTCAGCAGCCAGCTTATGGGCTTCATTACATGTGTGGCACTAAAGTAAGTCATGTTTCCCAGCCCACTGAACTGATGCAAATTATTGGTCAGTTACACCAAAATACATAATAAACAGAATATTTTAAAGAGTTAATTTGCAAAAGCAGATAACTCCGTTTTTAACAATTTTCAAAAATCATGTTTTTTTTTGTTTTTTTCATTGTGCATTCCAATTAATCTCAATCAAACTACAGTTGTGTTATTTTGATTAGGTTAAAAAAAATAACTAAAACATACAGCAAACTAACACAATAAAAACATGATAACATAAAAAAAAATACGATTTTTGAACATTTTTAAAAACCGAGTTAAACTCTTAATTTCCATTCCACGGGATTTTGCTTTCGCTGCACTTTTTTGATAAATTTGTCTATTACAAAATCTGATCAAATCTGGCAAATGTTTGCTGCAAACAGAGCCACAGCTGAGAGCAGGCCGAGCTCTACGTGTTAATGAGTCTCATTGTAATGCAGTGAGTAAACACCCATATGAATAGTCTTTGTACCAAACCCCTCCCCGGCTCTTGTTCTCTCGGCTTCGCCGGCACTGAAAAAGCCAAAGTCTGATGTCATTGCTTGCTGTAATGGCCCGCTCAGTGGCCCTCATCTCCCCTCTCTTATTTTCTCATTCACTCTCTTCTCTGACTGACAGCCGGTCTTTCCAATCCCTGCAGGATCATGTGATCCAGGCACACACTAGTAGCCTGGACGAGGTGGAGGCAGGCGCAGCGGGTCAGATCCAGGCAGAGACACATCCTTCACATCTTACTGATGCTGCACACAGAAGCCAAAGAGTGGCTTATCGAGCATCAATGGATTCTGCCGTTCCTGTCAGCATGGATGCCTACCGTCCAAAACGACCCACCACTCTCAACTTATTCCCACAGGTGCCGCGGACTCAGGTAATAGACAGATTAAATTATGACTATAGATATACACCTGATGAGGCAAGGGAAGCAGTGCATCCTAGAACATTTCAGAAAAGAGTGCACAACTAAATATCATGAAGTAATGTTTAAATAGTGCATAAAGCACTCAATTGATGTTTTAATGACTGATTATTACTCACTCACTTTGTCCTTGGAAAAAGAAGTATACTTTAGCATATGTGACCCTGGACCACAAAACCAGTCATAAGGGTCAATTTTTCAAAATTGAGATGTATGCATCATCTGAAAGCTGAATTAATCAGCTTTTCATTGATGTGTGGTTTGTTAGGACAATATGACAATATTAGAGATACAACTATTTGAAAATCTGGAATCTGAGGGTGCAAAAAAATAAAAATATTGAGAAAATCATCTTTAAAGTTGTCCTAATGAAGTTCTTAGCAATGCATATTACTAATCAAAAATGAAGTTTTGATATATTTACAGTAGGAAATTTACAAAATACCTTCATGGAACATGATCTTTACTTAATATCCTAATGATTTTTGGCATAAAAGAAAAATCTAGTGTATTATAGGTTTATGTTACTTGCATGTAATTACGCATAATTTATTGTTATTATAACACTAAGTACATATAACGTGTAACAAGGACACCTTAAAATATAGTGTCACCAAAATAAATACACTAAAATGAATTTGAAATACATTTATTTCATGCTAAGTATACTACAAATACATTTACATATTTACAGTAAGTACTTAATAAAAATACCCTGTAATTGTATTTTTAGTATACTAAACTGGTATACTAAACGTCTGCTAAATTGGAACAACTAATTTTGTGCTTACTGCACTTTAATTGTGCGGAAGTAGTGCCGAAGTCCAACTAAAGATAAACTGAAGTATATTTGATCATGCTAAAGTGGAACTATTGCAAGTATACGTCAGGTAGCTACAATTTAAATATCTAAAGACCGATATTATTCAAAGATATACAATCCTCATCAATAGTGACATTAAAACACATTTAATGCTTAATACTAAGAATTGTGCACGAGTTGCACTTGGAAAGTTTAATTATATATTTTTTATATCAGTAAGTCTCGAGCGCTACATCAACAAATATGTTAATAGATTTTAACTATACTTAGTATGAAATAAAAGTATTTTACTTTTTTACTAGAGTCATAACTTAATTTTAACAGAATAATTAAAGTGCACTGCCATATGTATGTGTGTTTGTGTGCATGCATGGACTTGATTGATACTCTATCAATTCACTTTTTTGTGCACGACCCTCCTGCAACCAGGTGAACTCGCCCCATCTCGCGAACACACGTGTCTGAGCGACGAGGAGAAGCACCACACTGCTCAGAGTCGGACTCAAATGAAAGACTGCGGCACCTCGACCGACAAACCCAACAGTTGCCCCTCCAAACACACTCAAGCTCCTGCCCCACCATACAAAGCCAGAGACGTGCACAGAGAAGCGGGCCACTGCGAACGCATCCGATATCACACAGATGTTAGGCTGGAGCCTACGGAGGAGATCTTTCTGACGCCGATACAGCGCTGCACTGAGGCTCTGGAGCTCGAGAGAACGCCGGCGCTTTCCCAAGTAATCCCAGACAGCTCTGACAATGAAGCTCCCCCTCCGTACAGCGAACAGGATCTGCAGCCGCCTTCATATTCCTCTTGTGTGGCGGCTTTGGCTGCTGTGGCCCCTGACAATGAAGCAGAAGAAGCAACTGGAGCGGAAGATCTGTGTTACAGAGACTGCGGCGCAGGTGAGGCTCACGCACACCGCGAGGGTTTGTCGGGAATGCTGCGGACTTCCATGAGCAACTCGGACGCTAGTGGACTTTCCTACGATTCGGTCAAATACACGCTGGTCGTGGATGAGCACGATCAGCTGGAGCTCGTCAGCTTGAAAGAGTGTTATCACGGTTACAGCGACGACAGCGACTCGGCCACCGTCTACGATAACTGCATCTCCTCTCCATACGAGTCGGCTCTTGAGAAAGAGGACGAGGAGAACGAGAATGAAGACGGGGGAAGAAAACAAAGCAGGATCAAACAGGACACTTCGACGTGTCTGTCAGAGGACTCCACGCCTGAAGCCGACATGCAGTTTTCTCGGAAATTTGTTAACGTTTTCATGAATGGCTGCTCACGCTCTTCCAGTAAGTGCACTTTTATATATTTTTAGCATTTGAACACTATCGGTCAAAAGTTTGGAATTCTTTGTTTTTTGTGTGTGTGTGTTTTTAAAAATAAATAACTCTCTTCTGCTCACCAAGGCTGCGTTTAATTTGATCAAAACTGTAAAATTGTGAAATATTATTACAATTTAAAATAACTGTTTTCTATGGGATTATATGTTCAAATGTAATGTATTTCTGTGATGCGCAGCTGTATTTTCAGCATCATTCCTCCAGTCTTCAGTGTCACATGATCTTCAGAAGTCAGTATAATATCCTGCTCAAGAAACATTTCTGATTATTATCAATATTATAATTTTTTGTGGAAACTGTGATGCACTACTATTCAAAAGTATATTTTTCTTTTTAAAGAGAAAAATTTATACTTTTATTCAGCAAGGATGTATAAAAACTGACAGTAAAGACTTACAAAATATTTCTATTCTATTTTGAATAAATGTTGTTCTTTTGAGCTTTTGTAATTAATCACAGAATCCTGAAAAAATCACGGTTTCCTCACAAATATTATTCATTTTCATCATCGATGATAAGGATCATAATTGATACTTGAGCACCAATAGTAGCTGATAATAATTGAGCAGCATATTATACTGATTTCTGAAGATCATGTGACACTGAAGACTGGAGGAATGATGCTGAAAATACAGCTGCGCATCACAGAAATACATTACAGTTTAACACATATTCACATAGAAAACAGTTAGTTTGAATGGTAAAATTATTTCACAATTTTATTGTATTTTTGATCAAATAAATGCAGCCTAGCAGATCATAAGAGACTTCTTTCAAAAAACATTCAAACTTTTTAACAATTCAAAACGTTTGACCTGTAGCATACATATTTCTCTTACAATGAAATCTATAGATACTAAAACTTTTCTGCATGTTTTGCTGACACTGAATGATGACGAGTGAGCATAATTGTTACACATGAGCTGCACTCTTTTTGCTCAAGTCACACTATCCAACAACCACATCAGCAGGTTTAGTGCTCTTACTGAGGTCAAGTGTGGTGTTAATGAGAGAAAGGCCAGGGCAAATACAGGCGAAATGTCACTTAAGTGGAGACAATGCTTTGAATCAGTTACAAAGGAAACAATTCACCCACCGGATCATTACCACGTTTGGTCACGCTCAAATCTAAATTAACTTTTTATGATCTTGCTGGAGAGCTGGTTTAGGAGGCACTCAGCTCAGTTAATATATCAACCAAGTTACGTTATTATTACCATTACATATGCAGCCATCATTACAAGGGGTGGGCAATATACAGGTTAAAACAACATACTGGTTGAAATTGTTTTAATCGGTCTAAATCTTTGAGTAGAATTAGGGGTGGGTTATATTTATAAACATATATATGCCCCCGGGCCACAAATCCAAGCATAAGAGTCCATTTTTCGAAATTGAGATTTATACATCTTCTGGAAGTTGAATGAATAAGCTTTACATTGATGTGACAATATTTGGCCGAGATACAACTATTTGAAAATCTGGAATCTGAGGGTGCAAAAAAATCTAAATATTGAGAAAATCTCCTTTAAAGTTGCCCAAATGAAGTTCTTAGCAATGCATATTACTAATCAAAAATGAAGTTTTGATATATTTACAGTAGGAAATTTACTAAATATCTTCATGGAACATGATCTTTACTTAATATCCTAATCCTAAAAATCTATAATTGTGACCCATACAATGTATTGTTGGCTATTGCTACAAATATCCCCCAGCGACTTAACACTGCTTTTGTGCTGCAGCCTCACATATATATCAAAATGCTCCAAAAAAAAAAAAAAGACCAATAACAATATATCATCACAATATATCAAGTATAAAATCCAAAGTATCACACATTTTATGAATTCTTGATGTACCATTTTTTTTCTTTTGTACCATTCATTGATTGCAAAGCAGTGCGAATCAGACTACAGTACTGTGCAGATGTTTGATTTTTGCATGCAGAAATCTCAAAATGAAAATGTGATTTATTGACGTACGGTCTGAAAACAAGGTGAGTATTAATAATAATAATATAATATGTTAAATTGGCAAATGCTGTTCTGGAAAAAGTTTAAACATAAAACTGAAACTGGAATTTATCATTATAATATGGTATATTATGCAGAGACAAATATTAATATGGCATTCATAGTTTGACACTGCTAGTAGAGTGGACATTACACTCTTCACATTTATTTTTTTTAGGAAAAAGATTCAGAAATATTATATATATATATACAGCTGATGTTATAAAGTACTAAGATGAAGGCTTTGCTGAGGAACAAGCTATGAGTTACATGACATTCAACCAGTAGCTTCATTTATTTGCTGAAAGGGGGTTGCTATAAACAGGTAAATATAGAAGTCCTACAACGTTATTGTATTTGGTATAACAATGGATTTGTTGGTAGAGTCAGCCCCAATGCCCTTGTGCAGTTTTTATAAATAATTTGAAACAGTTTGTTTTGTATGTTCCTAAAAGCCCTTAATAACCCTTGAAAGCTTTTAGTTAAGTTTGTTCAGTGTAGATTGCTTCCCTATAATTTCAATCTTCAATTACTATGTCAATTAGAAAGTGCGTGTGTAAGAATAGATCAGTATTTGACCATAATTAGAATGCACTGTATATTGATATAATGCACTGTACTGATGTGAAAGTGTTTGTATGACAGGCTGAAACAAACTCTTTGCTTTGGTGTTTAGGTACAGACTCGTTTGGCTTGTTTTCCTGCGTAATCAGTGGAGAAGAGAGAGAACAGACGCACAGAGCCGTGTACAGGTGAAACAGACTGAAACATAACTGTTAACAGTGGATACTGGGTCATTCTCAGGAAACGGCACCACTTGTGACTCAACATATAAAAAATAAATTAAAAAAAGCAAAAGTATTGTTTATGTTTAATGTTTTGTTTTAAAGGGGTGGTTGACTGGTTTCGATTGTGTTTATGGGGTGCAGTCTAACACGTGTTCATGCTTCGTTCTTTAAAAAACGCATTATTTTTCACACAATTTACCTTTATTCTTCAGCGCTCTGCCACTTCTCTGATAAACACGCTGATGATTTCCTGCTTTATTGAAGCCCCTCCCACAGAAATATGCGATGGACTCTGATTGGTTAGCTAGTCCAGTGTGTTGTGATTGGCTAAACCGCCTCTAGTGCGCGTCTAAACGTCCCGCCCCCTCACCTCAGCGGCATGTGCTACACTTGTATTGTAGACAATGGTGTCGTCTATATCGCTTATCAATTTGAGCTCGATTGAGATTAGTGAAGAGGATCACGCAGAACCTGTGCAAGCACACGGCTCTTAATGGTATGTTTTTTTTTGCTTCTGGTAGCTTTTAATATATGGTTTTATCCTGATTAAAGGTGCCATAGAATGCATTGATGCAATATTTTAAATTGTTCTCTGATATCTACATAGAAGGTATGTGGCTTAGGTAAGGGCAAAAAATCTCCAGAAACGGTTTTACATGTTGTTAATAAAGAATAACAATTTGGTCCCTCAGTAAATTCTCTTTGCCACCTTGAAGAATTCTCAGTTACTTTAAAGTGTAGACGGACGGCCGGGAAGTAAGAAAACACACAGTCAAATGTATCCTCAATACTTCAATTTATTCATAGAAATACAGATATTATATAGGCATATGTCGAGGGGAGTTTCATCCTCGATCTGCCATTTTCGCTATTATCCTCGCTTGTTTCTTCACAACACCTGCAGAACTTCTGATGATTCGGCTGTGCAGGTTCGGCATAGAACATGGGCGGGTATATGCAAATGTTGGGGGCGTAACTATTAGTGATCCCGACTGTAACGTCACAGTCGGTGTTATGTTCTGATTCGCCTATTTTTCATTGGTCTTTTGCATGCACAAGATTTACATAAGGAGGAGGAAACAATGGTGTTTGTTGCTCACGGTATGTCATTTTCATGTACAGAACTGTTACTATTCAACTATGCCAAGGTAAATACAGTTTTCCATTCTATGGCACCGTTAAAGCTTTAATACAGACAGTACAGCAACTGCATGCACGTCCATGTATAACACTTCTCATAGCTATGTGAAAATAAGTGTATAAATGGAACAGAGTTGAGCTGATGATCTGAATGAGCCGTATTTGTAGGCATTAAACGGCCAGAATTTTAAAAGTCGATATCTCCGTTTGCATTGAACTTTCAGCTTCGTAACTTTGCAGATATTGTTTATGCTCAAACAGCAACATTACACACAAACTAAGGTAAAAAAAAAAGTGAAATCGCAATCAACCACCCCTTTAAGTTATACAAGTTGAGTATCTTGTTGATTATATGAGTAGTACGTCACTGGGACAAAAAAACGAGACACAAATCTCACCATCTGAGAACGAAGCAAGCATGTCCTCGCCTGATGGAAGTGTTTTTGGCAGGTTTGTCCCTCGTCATGATGACGAGCTGGAGCTGGAGGTCAGTGACCCTCTGCTGGTGGAGCTGCAGGACGAGGATCACTGGTGCGAGGGCTACAACATGAGAAGCGGAGCACATGGCATCTTTCCCGCTTATTACGCCACTGAGGTCTTCAAGGAGCAAGAGCTTGCTTCAAACGGTAAGAGCTGGAGATTCAGATCACTGTGTTTTCAATAATGACACGATTGTCTTCTGTAGAAGAAGTTCACTTCATAACTAACACTGTTATTGAATTAAAACGAAACAACATTGGACTACACTCTTACAAATAAAGGCGCTTAAAAGGTTCTTCACAGCGATGCCATAGAAGAACCATTTTTGGTTCCACGAAGAACCATTGAGTCAAAGCTTCTTTAAAGAACCATCTTTTTGCTACCTTGTTATAATCTAAAGAACCTTCTTTCTCCACAAAGAACCTTTTGTGAAACAAGCAATAATCCCTGTGAAGCTGTGGTTTACAGTGAATATATAGCAGCTAAGGGGCGTTGTTAGGTACGACGTGAAGCGGAGTAAACCCTCTTAGCTGTTATAAATTCACTGTAAACCACGGCTTCACGGGGATTATTGCTTTTATAAACCGGTTATTCCATATACGTAGTAAGGTTTCACAAAATAAAATGGAGCAAATAAAGTGTAATGATATTAATAAAAACAGTATTCTTCCACCAAACAATGTAGCTCCTCAGAAACAGTTGTGGTTCCAACAAAGTGTTTCCCGAGCAGCACACAGAAGTAAATAAAGGTGTGTGTTTGTAGAGTAATTTACAACAGCTTCGAACGTGGCTCAGCCAATCAGAATCAAGGACCGTAACTCTCAGTTTTATAATGAACCATTTAGACAAAAAAAAGGTTCTTCTATGGCATCGTGAAGCACCTTTATTTTTAAGAGTGTAAAGTGAGCTGAATAATGACGCTATAGTCTTTTTAGAGCTGCTTTACAACTGAAATTGTATTCATTTCATGAGCACTATAGAAACTAATGTGACTCGGCTTTAATTACTTAACTGTTTGTATGGTCTTTATGTCTCTGTCTTGTTCTCGTTAGCAAAAAGTACTGAATGGATGGAGAGATATAGCATGAAATTCCTCGGCTCGGCTCAAGTGCTGAATCACAAAGGCAATGATATTTTGTGTGCAGCTATGCAAAAGGTTGGATACGATTTACGTCACATTTCACTGCGTATTTTAAATGAACAAAAACAAAAATTGCATTTCTTACAGTAATAATGTCTCGTGTGAAACTTGCGACTGGCAAACTTCACTATTCTTTGTTTAAAATGTTGATCACATGAAAACAAATGTACGCTCAAAAAAACATTTAGGCCTAAATTAAAGATTTATGTATTTGAATTGCATGTAAAATTTCCATTACACAGTTTTAATGCATATTTGTCAGTCATAATAAAATGAAACGGGTCACATTTCTGTAATAGTACTAATATAAAGTGAATGTGTTTTAAACACAATAACCAGGTTTATATATTTATCATCTGATTTGTCATCAGATCTCGTACATTTTAATTGAATATTGCTTTTTCCACAGCTAGCCATATTTTACCCATGTTCATATTTTTAACTGAATAAATGTAATTCAGTTAAACAATGAACAGATTTATGCTTGATTGTAAGCTATTTGAATAAATATCATATGTCATATTTTATAAAATTCTAAATTATTTCAAACAGAACAGCACAGAAATCGGTTGGGTTTCTGGCACAAACCGATCGTTTCGTGTCTTAGGACATCAATGTGTCGTCACGAGCCGCAGGGTTTAATTTGGATTTGTCTGTGCATGTTTTTTTTACTCTCATAGATTTTGTTACCATTGCCATGCATTATACGACTGACAGACTGCAACGGTTAAAGTTAAAAATCATCAAATGTGTTCTACTGAAGAAACAAAGTCACCTACATCTTGGATGCCCTGCAGGGGGTAAGCAGATAAACATCACATTTCCATTTTGGATGAACTATCCCTTTAAGGTCCTGAGAGGAACAATTTGTTATACCTAGTGCAAAACAGATTTATTAAAGGAAATGGAAGTGAAATTGTAAAATTCCAATAAAAATACACACCTGTGCCAATATTTATGCAGTTGGCAATAACACAGGCAAAATGATAAAAAAACTAAACTGAAAAGGACAAAAATGTCGAAAAGGTCGCACAAGGGTTAATCAAAACAAAAGCAGCCTCTGTGACCATAGAGACTTCTTTCAAAAACATAAAATAATCACAGACCCCAAACTTTTAAACAGTAGTTAAAGCGTTAGTTCTGTGGGTTTTATGTAACGTCTGGTATCTCCACAGGTATTTTGGCTTTATTAGCAAACATCCAGCGGATGAGAGGTTCGCCTGTCACGTCTTTGTGTCGGAGATCTCCACCAAACCGCTTGCAGAGTCTGTGAGGTCAGTCTGGCTTTACCTTGGCTTGACGAAGCTTCACTGTTTAAGCTTTTTCTTCTGAGACTATATTTAGTCTGCATCTCCCTCCTGGAGTTTTCAAGCTACGACCACCAACCTGGGCTCAGACATCCAGACTGGTCTGACTCGGGCTGCTATATCATTTCTAATTGACCGGACTCACGTTTTTCGTTAAATGCAAATTTTACAAATAAATCCCATAGACTTTCACTGAGGGGCATCAAGACGTTCGTACAATAACACACATAGCCCCGGTTTCATAGACAGGGCTTAGCCTAAACCAGGATTAGGCCATAGTTCGATTGCTAATTTTTATAAACATGACACGTGTTTAAACATGTCAAAATCATGCGAGCAACATGCTAAAACATACTAGCACTGTGTTAACTCATGCTAGCAACATGTCAGATCATGCTAGCAACATGTTAAAACATACTAGCACTGTGTTAACTCATGCTAGCAACATGTCAAATAATGCTAGCAACATGCTAAAACATACTAGCACTGTGTTAACTCATGCTAGCAACATGTCAAATAATGTTAGCAACATTCTAAAACATACTAGCACTGTGTTTACTCATGCTAGCAACATGTCAAATAATGCTAGCAACGTGTTAAAACATACTAGCACTGTGTTAACTCATGCTAGCAACATGTCAAAATCATGCTAGCAACGTGTTAAAACATACTAGCACTGTGTTAACTCATGCTAGCAACATGTCAAAATCATGCTAGCAACGTGTTAAAACATACTAGCACTGTGTTAACTCATGCTAGCAACATGTCAAAATCATGCTAGCAACATGTCAAAATCATGCGAGCAACATGCTAAAACATACTAGCACTGTGTTAACTCATGCTAGCAACATGTCAAATAATGCTAGCAACATGTTAAAACATACTAGCACTGTGTTAAAACACAGTAGCAACATGCTAAAACTTGTCAGCCACTTGCTTAAACATTTTAGCAATGTTTAAGACAACATTTTAATAGCATTGTATTGACTTGTTATTGAGTGAAATCTTCCAACTGTAAGCTTTTTAAAGTTTCTAGCAAGGCTTTGTCAAGCCAACATCAATGTTTGTTTATAAACTACAATATAATGCATCTGTACTATACTGCACGCAATTACAGTTGAGTGCACTTTCATTCTAAAACGTTTTACTGGCTCAGAAAGTGTTTACTAGTATATTCTCTGTCTTCTTTAACAGGAAAGCTTTCCAGTTGTACTATAAAGAGTTTGTGGAGGTCTCGTGTCCAACAGAAGACATCTACCTGGAATAATCTCGGACTACAACACAGCAGTGTATATCACGACTATGCTACATGAGTACATGAGAAATAATAATATGTATATAATCAAAGACTAATATATCTGACAAAAAGGACCGAACGAGATGAAGAGTGACTGACTGAGGCTTGTAACGTGATGCACCTGGCTGTGTGTAGACTGACGCACAAAAGAAGAACCAAATGAAAAATTGTACAGCATAAAAGGCTGAAATTATTTTCCAGATATTGATGATTTTGGATGCTTTGGATGAGGCTTTCATCCGTTTCTCTGCTCTTGCCGCTGCGCTTCAGGCTTCATAGAGGATATTTTTTCATAGCACAAAACCATGCATTCTCATAAAATATTAGTAAAGCATATAAACGGTGACCAGTTTAACGAGACGAACAAATCTGCCATTTCAGCTGCTTGCGATGTCTTGATGTCTGTTGTGTTTTACAGGTATACCAGCATCATTCATTCCCAAGACAAGCCTGCAAAGAGAAATTCATAAGTATTATTCATTGGAAACGGTATAATAGGACTCCTTTGTAACTCAGTTAGTCACCAAATGAAAGACAGATCTATAAATAGCTACACTCTAAAAAATAATGGGTTGTTTCAACCCAACTTTGGGTCAAATATGGACTAATCCAACTTTTGGGTTAAAAATTGAATGTAAAAATGTAACCCAACGGTTGGGTTAGTCCATATTTGACCCAAAGTTGGGTTGAAAAAACCCAGCATTTTTAGAGTGTACAAACGAGTAACAGGGCAATTTTATCATATTAATAGAAGTCATTAACAGCTGATCAGAAAATGTTTTAGGACTTTCAGTATTGCTTCTGGATCACGACATTCCCTCTTATAAGTGCAATGGAAATGGTTAAACTACATAATAATAATAATAATAATAAATACTAGTGCCACGGGGCTCCTGTTAAAGCTCGAAGGTAAATGATTTTGGAAGAGCTGCGTTATTTTTGGCTTGGTTTTACGGTAATAAGCTCCTGAGGCATTTCTTGTGAAAGCAAGACCTTACAAATGATGTGCTCATTAAAGGCTTGTTCATCAAGGCACATTTGTAGATCACTTGTTTTATTTAGATACCAGTATACTACAAACTAAATATATTTAATGGAGATAATACATGTTCTACGTTTGTTTTCCAGAAGATGTTAATATTGCGCATTTCTGTGAAAGGCTTATGAATCATTATAAATAACAATATGTACAATTTTAATCAATACTTGGAAAGGCTTCTTTATGCAGAGGGTGCCAGCGGCCTGGGGTTTGTTGTTGTTTCACTTCACAGCACGATATTAAATTAAATTATTTTTTAATCTTGGTCAAGCAATATTTAATTCATTAGACCCCATCACTCATTCTTTGAATTTTACAATGTTTTTTCAAAGCTTTTTTATACAGATAACAGACCAGATCCTTTAATATTTAAAACAGGTTTGCGTATAAGTAAATGGAAATTTATTACGATTTACAATTAATCACCTTTATACGGCAACGGGCAGGTAAGCCGTTTTCTGTGAATGTGCCAGACTTCCGTTCGTTAGCCTAAATTAGAAGAATAACTAAGCCCTACAAACCAGTGTGTTTATGATATTACATTAAAATAATGTGATAATACCACTTTGCAATTAAGCAGAATAAGGGGCTGTTTTTGTACAACCTGGAAGCAAAAGATACCGGAAGTCCTGCACATTCAAGTTAAGCGACGCATTTACGTTAAAATTATTATAAATGCCGCGATAATAAAGTCAATTATTACACTGCATTTAATTATACTTGCACCACCTCAAGTTTCTTTTTACCTGAGCCTTTTAGCCAATCAGAGTTGAGCACATGAACGTGACAGCCAATCAGAGGCGTTTCAATTAAAGGTTCTCTTTACCCGTGGCACGTTCAAGCTCAAACCGTTGTGCACCGTTTTGCTACGGTTTCCGGGTTGAACGACACATTTCCTGGAAACGGTGTGCAACGGGGTTTGAGATGGTTTTCTCTTGTTTGGTGGGTGTGTCAAACATGTCAGCCAATCAGCAGCAGCATGTATATAAACCACGCGGTATTAAAGAGACAGCGCACACAACGTAATATCCAAATAAATTCACAAGAGCAAGACTATTGTCTACACATGTTTATGTACATCAAAGGCAAAATAACTGAAATAATGAGAGCACAAGTATAGATCTGGAACTTCTTTTAAGTCTGTCTAAATATCATTTAGTAATTGCAATGTCTTCTGGTCCATATCCTTTGCTTAGGAAGGTGTGCTATACATATTTATTTTGCTATTGTATTATGGAGTGACACTTTTCTATACTGCTCTGATTATATAATGGTAAATATTACAATATCATAGCACAACAACAGTGATCAGCAATAATGATAAGCCTAATACACACAATAAAAATAACAAGGTCATATAGATCATATAACACAGCCTCGGAGGTAAGAAGTGGATTATCCTTCACCTGAAATGCGAGGCAAATGTTGGATCACAATAATTAGGAACCACGGTTTCCACAAATCCCTTCATTTGATTGGGATCTTTTCTCTTTTATTCTGGACGGCAAGGGCAATGACTAACATTGAGAGTATCTTGCAGTATTAAACACGCATTTATATTGATTTCATCAGGCTCCGAAAGTTCTTCAAAAAGAACACAAAGAATGGCCTTCTCAGCTGCCATAGTTGCAACTCTTGCGTCATCAGAAGTGTTCAACGCACCAGTTTCCGTTTAAAACACCTTTTGCACCGTTTTGTCGGCGTTGAACGCAGCCCTGCTGTTGCTAAGCCTTTTAGTCAATCAGAGTTGAGCACATGAACGTGACGGCCAATCAGAGGCGTTTCAATTAGTCACCACGCAGAAGATCCGCTCCAAGCGCCAGTTTTGCTCAATGCATGTACACTTGTCTTTTTAATAAGTCGACAACATCCAGATAGAGTCGCAGTTTACGTGCCAAAACCTCATCTGTGTTACCAAGTTATCATTATCTGATAAAATAAGCAGAATTCACAGCTGCTCCTCACAGACTCAATTTATACGCACTCAAATGGCATCTAGCCTGATGAAGGATCATCTGTTCACTGCTTCACAAAACTTCATTTTGCCGTCACTAACGATCATGGACTTCTTAATAGCTCAACAGACTCAAGGATTCGTTCCATCTGTATGAGACAAACACATTTACTGTGACACAACAGACCGTTATACACAATAATACGCAGCGACTCACTGCTCAAGCCAAAAATGATAGACGCATATCAGAAAACTTTATTTATTTACATGGTCTCAAACATGAAACTTGCACCACGTTGTCAGCTGGTCAAAGCAGTTTCGGTGAGACGTCAATGGTGTTGATCCGTAACACGGTCTGCGGCTGAATAATGACTGCGGAGGGAAAAAAGTTGAATTAATGCATTGATGAAAAATTCAAACCACGAAAGACTAAACATCTATTTTGGATTTATTGTCCCTCATACTTCTCTTTCTTTGGAATCGATGTCTCTTCCAGAATCTCATGTGAACCATTGGCCAGGATTCGGTCTTCTCAATCACCGTAGCGTGAACTTGTACTAAATCACGGCTGAGCATTACAGGAATATAATAACATAACATAAGTCAATTACCACAGAGAACAACTGAATAACTGACTGAAAGATAAAGTGTCATCAGATATTCAACTAAAACCTATCAATGCATAACAGTGACTTTTCATGAACCAACAACAACAAAAAAATTTATATATGTTTTAAATGTAGATGCACCAAGCTTTTATGTCCATTCTACCACATCTATATAAATCCACAATCCATCATAACATCAGCCCATGCATAATACATTAATAAATGTGCACAAACTCAAACCAGACGGGAGCAAAGCACGGTTTCACAGCACTGTACCTACAGTAAAACTCATTTTCTAGCAAGAATACAATTTTGTATTGTCTGTTATAAGTGTATTTCTGCACACATTTGAGGTTTGTTTTGCACGGAAATGCGGAGCATTTAAACACTAAAACTCACAAATGTCTTATTTTCCACTAAGTAATGCACTCTGGGTATTTAAATGCAAGTATGTGATCATCAGACTTGTGCATAAAATAAAGCAAAGATTATTTATTAGGAAAATAAAATGACAGAATATACAACATTGTGCCATGGCAAACTGCTAATTATTATATATCATTTTTTTCTTAACAAACTGAACAATTACATGTGTTAATCTTGCATCCATGGTGCGTCAATTTTGATTAAATTATGACTGTATAAACCTCATTAGTTTTAAACTAGTGAAACTAGAATTTAATTTGCATCTTACCTGAGAAGTGGTTTTCCAACAAGAGTGAAATCATTTCCTCCAACTAACAGCACCTGCAAAGAAGCGTTAGCATGAAAACTTCGATTACTATACAAATATGTATCTTGTGTTGCATGCAAATAGAAGGTAACCAAACTAACAGAATTCAGGAAAAACATGCATCTACTAAGTTCAGGATTAATGCCACGGAGAACGTGCACTTGTTGCGCTGCTTGTAAAACGCCATCTTTTGTGCATTTACCGTAACGTCTTGAATTACGCACAGTATATTTGTTGAATTATTTCTCAGTATCAGCCAAATAATGAATGATATGTAACTGGAATAATCTTCAGGCATGTGACCTCAAAAACAAAATGACTTAAAATACACAGGCAATAATAATTAGTTCAAATAAAGTATCAAAAGCTGTTTTTATTACTGTTAAAATACATAATGCATTATAAATAGTGCTGTCAAACGATTAATCACATTCAAAATAAAAAAATTTTTAAAATGCAATATATGTGTGTACTGTGTATATGTAAATACACACATACACATATATATTTGGAATATATGCACATGTATTCACACGTATTTATATAATAAATATATTTAATATACAAATATAACAATTTTCTTAGATATATACATGCATGTGTGTGTATTTAATTATACACAGTACACACACACATAATTTGTAAACAAACTTTCATTTAGGATGCAACTAATAGCGATTAATCGCTTGACAGCACTAATTATAAACAAGAGCTAATGTACATTACGCATTATAACAAATGCCAGCAGAGGGCGCCAACGGACTTACGATTGTTTTACACTTTACTGCGTAATTTAATATTGACATTTCATTCAAATGTCCACTTAATCTTCAATATTTGGTTATTTCTTTATGATAGAAAAGCCACAGCCACTGTAATTTCTTCAATATGTGGACATCAAAACGTGTGAACTCAGAGAGAGGGTTTGAGCTTTTATTTTGACATGGCGATGAACAGTTAGCATATTAAAAATATATATTGATGTATTCTCCTGGGTTTACCTTACAGATCTGATTAAATGAACGTTATAATAAACCCAAACTCACAACAACATGCAGGGATGCAGCTCCTCAGATGTAAATGATAAGAGTTTGTGTGGAGCAGCATTTACTGTGAACCTACACGCATGTAAATAATTAAAGCGCATATATTAAACCTGCATATATTTATTTAATTAAATAGTTGCGTTTGTGAATTCTTAATAGCATGATGCTTTAATATGATTTTGAAATGGGTTTAATACGTGAGCCTGCAGCACAAAAGCAGTGTTAAGTCGCTGGGGGATATTTGTAGCAATAGCCAACAATACATTGTATGGGTCACAATTATCGATTTTTCTTTTATGCCAAAAATCATTAGGATATTAAGATCATGTCTCGTGAAGATATTTAGTAAATTTCCTACCGTAAATATATCAAAACTTAATTTTTGATTAGTAATATGCATTGCTAAGAACTTCATTTGAACAACTTTAAAGATGATTTTCTCAATATTTAGATTTTTTTGCACCCTCAGATTCCAGATTTTCAAATAGTTGTATCTTGGCCAAATATTGTCCGATCCTAACAAACCATACATCAATGGAAAGCTTATTTATTTCGAAAAATTGACACTTATGACTGGTTTTGTGCTCCAGGGTCACATTTGTGGAACGCACCACTTCCGGTATTTTGCAGATTCCTCGACACGGCCAAAATGCAAACGAGGATTTTAAAAAATCAAATACTCAAATAGAATCAAGGATTCATTGAAGCCCTAAAAATCATACATATCGTGCCTTTAAATGGTGGAATGGCCTTAAAATAGTTTAAGGACCCAGCTGGCCATTTGGATAACGACGATGACCCAAAAACATTTACATGGATCATCCCACTGAGGTCAGAAAACACGGAAATCCCATCCCGAGTCTTTGCATCTGCAGTCTGTGTGAATCTGAATGTTTGAGTGGATGAGAAAACCTTCTCCATTCTTATGCTGTCGCCACACGCCGCATCAATGTGGTTTTCGATGAGGATCAGGTCTTCATCGGTCACTTTCCACTGACGGCTGGCGAAATGAACCACAGCAAACAAGCGCCCGCACTCTCGCTTCTCAATCAGCCCGTTCACCTTCTGCACGACCGCTGTGAGAGACGGCATTAAATCACAAGAACAGCCGACTCAAAATCAGCAAAACTCTCTCGTTCTGCTTTCAGGGTATTTACAGAAAGACGGAATAAAATGCAAGACCTTCAAATGCTAAAATTAATCAAAATTAGTGCCGTCAAACGATTAATCGCGATTAGTTGCATTCAAAATAAAAGTTTTTGTTTACATTATATATATAAAGAGTGAAAAATTTAAGGGGGTCTGAATACTTTCCGTACCCACTGTATATGTATATATATATATATAGATATAAAGATAGATATATAAAAAGATAATTTTGCAAAAGCTTTAGTTTACAAGCATCTCAAACTGTTCTTGTCCCCAAATTCCATAATTAAGATTTTTAACAATATTTAAGACTTTTGTAATGCAATTTCAGAATTTAAGGCATGCTTTTATATAAAGTGGTCCGCGTTAATTGGTTTTCACTGCAGTTATTCAACTAGGAGCCAATTTCACTATATTTATGGCATGTCAAAATCATCACTGCTCGTCTGAATATAAATGCTTTTTGAGAAAGTTAGCAACCAGGTGTCAAGTACATCAATTTTCACACATTTTTAGTGTTCACAGCTGAGCTCAGATCAGCCAAACACTTGCCTTGATGCCGTCTTTCCTCTTCTTCAGGATCAAATGCAGGTAGTTCAGGCCACGGCGGTCTGGAGAGTGACGTCTGTGGTACATTACTGTAACAGCACATTAAACTAGGTATGCATAATATATACACAGCATGACTTATCACGATATATAAGAACATGGCAACTATTACATGTCCTCAACAAGTCTGAAAAATTAAAATATTATTTGAAGTATACAGACCAAGGCTGGAAAAAGAGAGCTACTGTTAACAAAATACAGAAACGCACTTTCATACATAAAAGCATATATATATATATATATATATATATATATATTTTGGTCCAATCAGAAATAAATCTATTTAGCAGCAACACGCTACAGTGGGTGCTGTTGGTGCATTTTATCCATCATTTTCTAGTGTATCTCGGGTGGCCTGCATTTCACCAGCAGACTAACAGCTGAAAAGGCTTATGTTATAGTTTAAGGGGTCTCAAAAGAGAGCAGAACACACATGCACACTACAAGATGATGTTTACCTGGCAGGATAAATGATGCTGCTGGAGCTCTGGAAGCCGAAACCACCTGCAACACGAGACGGGGACTATTCAGAGATATATACAGTGATGCATGAGAGACCCTGCAGCACAAAAGCAGTCTGAAGTCGCTGGGGGATATTTGTAGCAATAGCCAACAATACATTGTATGGGTCAAAATCATTAGGATATTAAGTAAAGATCATGTTCCATGAAGATATTTTGTAAATGTCCTACTGTAAATATATCAGAACTTAATCTTTGATTAGTAATATGCATTGCTAAGAACTTTATTTGAACAACTTTAAAGATGATTTTCTCAATATTTAGATTTTTTTGCACCCTCAGATTCCAGATTTTCAAATAGTTTAAATATTTTAAAATATTGTCCTATCCTAACAAACCATACATCAACGGGAAGCTTATTTATTCAGATTTCAGATGATGCATAAATATCAATTTAAAAAAATTGACCCTTATGACTGGTTTTGTGCTCCAGGGTCACATATATGTTCAGATAGCAAATTATAGCGGTATTTGAAATTATTATTATTATAGTTATTACTATTGTTTGACATTTGTCTATATTCATTCTGTAAAATTACAATAATTTCTCTAAGTCAACCCTTTCGAAAAATTCACATTTCAACTTTTAACGAAACGTTTAAATACTGTTTTTCCTCGAAAGAGTCGAAACTGACACCGAACCGAAGGAATAACCCTTAATAACACACACACACCACAATCACACACTCTCTCGCTCTCTCTCTCTCTCTCACACACACACACACTCGCTCTCTCTCT